ACAAAAAGCTTGTATTGAGGTATTCTGTTAAATCCCAAGTGAAACTAGATATTTTTAGAAAGTGGAGTAAATAGAATTCCTAGCTATGAGGTGAGTAGACTTCTGAGAAGTTAGATTTTGGATCCTTGATATCCTTTCTTCAATACAAAAAACAAAACTGTACACAAATACACCAAGTGTGGAATCACCAACACCCTGTACAGTTGTAACAAGGCTTCCATATTTTTATACTCCGGCCCTCTAACAATAAAGACCAAAATTCCATTTGCCTTCTTAATTACCTGCTGCACCATCATGCTAACATTTTGTTTCATGCACAAGAACATCCCATCTCTCTATGTAATACATTTTTGAAGTCTCCATTTAAATAATTGTTGGCTATTCCAGGAAAGATTTTAAAAAGTAAAATTATGACTATTGAGTCCTTACATTGGAATGATTAGGGGATTCCTTTCTTTGCTGGTCATTGATTGCCAAGATGATCACAGCAATGGTTATGCCTGACACTATGTGTTGTGAATGTTATTCACCATGTTGTCTTGAACTGGTCTCACCCACCGGTGGAGATTGGTTTTCTCACTGTACCCCATCAAATTCTTTATTTCTTGAAAGAACTTTAGTAATATTTCCCTTAATTTGCCTTAGTCAAAAGAATACAAGCCTAGGTTGAGCAAGCTGCTCTCACAATTTACCTTTCATACATTTCTTCTGCTGCACCTTCTACAGGGATATAGTGCTCTTCCTGAGGGGCAGTGTCCAGAATTTAATGCAGTACTTTGGATGTGATATTACCAGAGTCCTACACACCGTTGTATAACTTCCACTTTTGTGTACTTCAGCCCCCCTTGAAATAAACATTAAAATTCCATTAACCATATAAATACTTTTGATACCTGTCTAGTAGTTTTGTGATTTCTGTAAATGTTTTAAATCTCTCTGCTCATCCACAGTTTCTTGTTTCTTACCTTTTTTTTGATCATTCACAAATATTTAGGTCAATGATTAGGCTAGTACTTGAGGGGATGGTGTTGGTGATCTGCCTTCTTGTTCTGCTGCAATCTATGTGATGAGGTACATCCATGGTGCTGTAGGGGAGGGAGTTTGAGGATTTTGACCTAGCAACAATGAAGTAACAGCAACATAGTTCCAAGTCAGAATGTTGAGACTCTTGGAGGGGAACTTGCAGGTAGCTGTAGTCTCAGTATCTGTGGCTCTTTTCCTTCTAGATGGTAGAGGTCACAGGTTTGAAAAATACTGTTTAAGGAGTATTTAGAAAATGTACTGATCTTTCTTTCCTAGGTACAAACTGCATGACCTCATACCTATTGATACTGAATTCCAACTGCCACATTATTGTCAATTCAATCTATTAATGTTGCTTTACAACACTTTGTGCTCAACTACACTACTTTACCATCCCATTAAAAATACTGCTCTCGGCAAACTTAAAGAAAAAAAAATCCAGTCATTTATCCAAGTCATTTATAACATTCATAAGATTATTTATGATTGAAATCAGTATCTTCATCATGCAGGATTAAGTAGTCATCAATATAGAATATTATCTATCTTATCTTTTATATCTGTACATTGTAAGCAGACTGTTGGTAATGGTAATGGTGGAGAATGCTTTGTTAAGAAAATAAGACATTTATGTGAAAATCTTGACGACAGAATAACTGGATAAAAATGGGTGAAAACGAGAAGTGACAGAAGTGAAAAGCCCAGAAATGAACTGCCAATCTGTCAGAAATTAGCAAAAAGTTGCTTGTACACTCTCATATTCATGAGGAAATTAAATGAAGTTATGGAAATACACTGCTGAGGTAATTATAGGCTCTCACCAAAGGACACTCATTTCAGTAATCTGACTCAAACCTGAGTCCAATCCCTGAAGTGAGAAGAGATTCCAGCTCAACATGTCTTCTAATCCTCTCCTGCAAATGCTCTTGATTTGAATGTACACATAAATTTTGAAATCAGCAATGTTCATAACAGTTTAGTTTATCCTGTGCAAAGACTGTTCTTAAAATAACTGAACAACCCGTTTTCTTCCAGTGTACTGTAGTGAGTGAACTCTTTTTCCAAAGATTCCTTTAATTAATTTGCAGACAACATTATGTTGTAACTAAAACACATGGATTCTAAACAATTTATCTTGTAACTGTCAAACAAACTGAATATCAAAACACGTCTATTGAAATATAAACTGAAAGACACAATTAAAATGATTACAAGATTTCTTATGAAAATTACCTTCGTTATAGCCATCTTTCAAATCTGATATAGTCACAAATATGAATCTTGCCTGGAGAGGTATTTCTAATGATTTACATCAACTACCAAATATTGCTACATAAATTATTGTGCTCATATTCTTAAATAATTTCAAGTTCAAACTTTAACCTTTTTATTCTTATCATTAAGACTGTACAAAAATACTCCAATTGATTCTAGTGCCTCGTAATCTTTTTCCTATCTGAAAGGAATTATATAAGTTCCAGTTGCAGTTATGTATGGCTTGTAATAGTTTCAGGAACAATAGAGTACAAGTATTTTCCACTTGTTTCATGTTACAGATTGGGGTTCAATGAAGATAGCTTGCTGATCATTACAAAAACAAAATACAGCAAACATTGGGAGCCTAGAATAAAAACAGGAAATTCTGGAAATGCAGAGGGGGAAAGAGCAAAAACAAAGTTAGTAGCTGGGTTTTCCAGGCCCTTTGCACACAACCTTGGACATGTAGAATAATGCTAGTGGCATTGGATCAGAGTTAAGATTTCATATTTAAAATCCAAAAGAAGAATCTTTGGACTTGAAATGTTAAACTCTGTTTCTCTTTCTACAGATGCTGCCAGATCTGCTGAGTTTCTCCATTATTCTCTGTTTCCATTTCAGATTCCAGTAGTATTTTGCTTTTATTTGCTACTTCTCTTTCAGGTATGCCCACAAAGAGACCCACAGCAATGTGGTTGACTCTTAACTGTTCTCTGGGATATTCGGGATGGGCAATAAATGCTGGCCTACCAAAGACGGCCACATCCTGTGACTGCATAAGAAAAAGTTCCTCTCTTCGAGAGGATTTGTTTAATCTTTTGGCCTGTTCACCTTTAAAAAGGATTGCCCTTGAGTGATAGTAACACCTGAGAGAGCCTTAATGAGCTGCGCGTTGGACAACTGTCTCTCTGGGAAAGCAAGTTCTCTCCCTCAGAGCTGCTGGCCAGCTTGTTTGGCTGATAGATCAGTACTCCCAGAAATGCCAGAACAGAAGTGACCACTGCTGGGACTAAAAGCAAGTCCCAAGAAGAAGACAGTATACCAACCAGACTTGACACCTCGATTTTAGTTGAGGAGAGGTTAATGACCCCCAGAGGGGTGAAGGATAGAGATGGAGCAGAAAGTTACAAAGATGGGGAATATGATCCTAGGTAGGTGACCCTGACTCGTACATTAGACCCCCCCCAAAGGAGATACCACCCACTTCTTTCCCACCTTTTAGTTCATGTTATAATAGGTTGGTTACCTTACTTCCGTTTTCCTGTATTATTGCAATTGATGTTAAGAACCTTAAAAAGCCTAAGAGTAGGAAACCGAGGTGAGAAACACCTTACCCATCCCCTGTAATGTGGGGCACAGCTTACAGGTGGCAGAGTGCGAGGCTATGTTAAGTGACCCCAACCAGCAAAAAGGGAGCTGTAATATCTGCCCAATTGTTTCTGAGTAGAGAACGCATCAGTGAAGCATGTAGTTAAGTTAGAAGTGTGAAGTGATTCATTTTGGAAGGTTGAACTTGAATACAGAATACAAGGTGAATGGCAGGATTCTTGGCTGTGTGGAAGAACAGAAGGATCTTGGGGTCCATGTCCATAGATCCCTCAAAGTTGCTACCCAAGTTGATAGGGTTGTAAAGAAGGTATATGGTGTGTTGGCTTTCATTGGCAGGGGAATTGAGTTTAAGAGCCACACAGTTATGCCGCAGCTCTATAAAACTCTGGTAAGACCACGCTTGGAATATTGTGTTCAGTTCTGGTCACCTCATTATAGGAAAGATGTGGAAGCTTTAGAGAAGGTGCAGAGGAGATTTACCAGGATGCTGCCTGGACTGGAGGGCAGGTCTTGTGAGGAAAGGTTGAGGGATATAGGGCTTTTCTCATTGAAACAAAGAAGGATGGGAGGTGACTTGATAGAGGTGTACTAGATGATGAGAGGCATAGATAGAGTGGATAGTCAGAGACTTTTCCCCAGGATGGAAATGACTATTATGAGGGGACATAATTTTAAGGTGATTGGAGGAAGGTATAGGGGGAAATGTCAGAGGTAGGTTCTTCACAGAGAGTGGTGGGTGTGTGGAATGCACTGCCGGCAGTGGTAGTGGAGTCAGATACTTTACAGACTTTTAAGCAACTCTTGGATAGGCACATGGAGTATAGTAAAATGTAGGGTATGCAGGGTAGTTTGATCTTTGTAGGAAAATAGGTCGGCAGAACATCACGGGCTGAAGAGCCTGTACTGTGCTGTACTGTTCTATGTTCTGTAAGCATCTGCCCCACATTTTTTTCAGAACTCATGATATCATCAATCCATTGTTTCACTGCTGATATACATTTCAAACGATACAGAAATGCATATATCCTCCGGAGGTTATTCTGTGTGGTTGCAGTTAGATTCCCCTTTGACACAATTCTATGTAGGTTATTCTGAGGAGAGAGGATTCATCCACTTCATGGTTGCCTGTTAGGGTAAAGCTGGTTTGCAAGAGAGGCAAAACTGCCAGTTAATTGCAAGATAATACTCTCGGATTGCATAACAAAGACAATTTTTAGGAAGAAGTCATGTGCCTCCTGATTGATAGAAAGAGTGGTGTGTAGATGATAAGAGGCTGTATCCCATAGGAAATTTAAAAAGCAGCTGCACACTTTTGTAATATAAAATGGAACTGCTTTAATGGAAACAGTGTAAGCAGAACAACTAAATATTTATTTGTCTGATTGTTACAGCAGAAATCTTACCAGTAAGAAGAGTGTCCATGATTGCATATACAGTTGTTTGACTGTGGAAAGTAACATCACATTTAACCGAAACATAAGCAGACAAGTAACACCTGCTTGATTTTTGACTCATCCGGAATTTAGATATTGAGGTATGATCAGCTCAGTAATACTTTGAAATCTTTCCTACACCTATTCTATGTGTGTTGCATAGAGTTTGAGAAGAGAAGCTACAGCACCTACTGCATTAAACTGTCAAAGCGTTTTCTCTTTGTATTTAGTTTGATTTATATGTATTTCATGTTTTCAGATAAGAAATTTATGTTGCATTGATAGTTAAGAAAGTTATGATTTTTTAAAAGAACTTCATTCAGTGTTCTCATCTGTAAACTATTGATAACTGTTACGATTTATAAAGTTTTTTTTACAAGAACATTCTCAATAATTTAAATGGATCAATTAAACAACATTATTTTACTGAATATTAGTAGTAATGATCAAGTAAACTTCTTTGGTTAATTTCATTGAGATTGCGGGGTGGCAGAAGAGTGAAGTTGTCTACTTTGGTTGAAAAAAAATACAAAATGAGAGTATTTCTTAAATGGTAACAGGTGTGAAGTACTGATACTAAAGGGACCTCGGTGTTCTTGTTCATAAGTCACTAAAAGGTAGTACGTAGGTGCCACAAACAACTAAGGACGGCAAATGATATGCTGGCCTTCATTGCAAAGGGATTTGAGCATAGGAATGATGATATGTTGCTGCGATTGTATAGAGCCTAAGTTGTGTACAATTTTAGTCTCCTTATCTCAGAGAAAGGGCAACAGATGGATCACCAGACTGAGAGGTTGGGATTATCTTCTCAGAGACACTGAGAAAATTGGACCTATTTTATCTAGAGTCTTCAAGAATGTCTTCAATGATGTGATCTCATTGAAACTTACAAAATTCTTATAGAGCACGGCAAGGTGGGTGTAGATAGGATGTTAGTTTGGCCTGTCCAGAACCAATCTAGCAAAGATAATTTTCACCATGTAGTTCAAGCTGTCCTATTCAAGAGATAGAGTTTGTTACAAGGAGGGTGTTAGTGACTTTCTACGTTTCCCATTCCTTGATCCATTTGATGTCTGTTAGTCAATCTTGCTGTTTTGCCTTATGGCATCAAGACAGAAGATGGACAGTAAGTGGGTTTAACATGTAATTTTGGGCTGCAGTGAAGTGCAAAATGCATGATTCCAAACAGCTTGTGGGTTTTCATCAATTGGTGGATATGCAGGAGAGTGATGTTTATGAGGACAGGAAGCCAAGGGAGGTGTATTGAACACAGGGTTCCAGTCATGATGTACAGCGGTGGAATCATCGAGTGTCACCAATATGAGTAAGCGACAAACTGTGTCACACAGGTGCATGGTTCTCTGCTGCGGAGTATGGCAGCATAAGTGCTGTAGTTTTGTGGTTGTAGCATGTCTTGTAGATCCAACAGCTTAATTGTGAAGTTATTCCAGTTTCCACCTTTGCCGCTTTTTTTTTTCAGACGTCCTTGGAAGGATAAAGACTTATACAGAGGTAACTCCTACATATGTTGGATTTGGACCAATCACGATCTAATTGAATGGCAGAGGAGAGTCAGCATGCTAAAACACCTCCTCCTCTTATGTTCCTAGAACACAACAAATATACAAACATGTGAAATAAGAGAAATAGACCACTTGAGCTTCTCCATCATTCAATAAGGTCATGGTTCATTTAATTCGTCCACATTCCAGTGTACCCCTAATAACATTTCACATTGCTGCACATCAAGCATAGTCTACCTTAAAAACTATTCAAGGACTCTGCTTCCACCAGCAGAGGAAAAGAATTCCAAAGGCTTATGCACTTCTTTGAGAAAGAATATCTCTTTATTTCTGTCTAAAATGAGCAACCCGTTATTTTCGTAATCCCCAAGGATGGATTCTCCCACATGCATACAAGACTGCTGAGAATTTTATCTTTCAATCAAATCAGTTTTTACACTTCTAAACTCCAAGGCTTACAACCTTAGCCTGTCCAAATATGACTCTAACCAGTGCAGAAATTTGCCCGATTTCCATTTTCTCAAGTTTTGTTACGGCTTCTTCATGCCATACATGGTCAAATGTGGACTTTTCACTTCACCTCTGGAATTCAGCTCTCTTGTCCACGTCTAAACCAAGAATGTAATGAGATCAGGAGCTGAGTGTCCACGATGGGGGAACCCAAACTTAGTGCTAGTGAGCAGGCTATGGTTAAGCAGGTGCTGCTTGATATTACTGTTGATGACACCATCCATAACTGTACTTATAATTGATGGTAACTGGGTGGTAATTGACTGGGTAAGATTTGTTAAGCTTTTTATTTACAGGACATGTTCAGGCACTTTTCCACATTTTTCAGATAGATCCCATTATCATAGCTATACTGGAAAAGCTTGGCAAAAGGTATGGTAAATTCTGCAGCATGTCTTCAGTGCTATTGCCAAAATGTTGTCAAGAGTCCGTACCCTTTGCAATATCCAGTGCTTTTAGCCATTTCTTGAAAACATGCGGAGTGAATTGAATTGACTGAAGACTGGTACCAGTGATGCTGGGGACGTCTGCAGGAGGTTGAGATGGTTTATGCACTCAGCACTTCTGGCTGAAGATTGTAACAAATGCCTTATCTTTTGCATTGGTGTCCTTGTAACAATGCCGTCATTTTAAAATTTTTCTGAAGCAGGGTCTCGACCCAAAACGTCAGCTTTCCTGCTCCTCTGATGCTGCTTGGCCTGCTGTGTTCATCCAGCTCTACACCTTGTTATCTCAGATTCTCCAGCATCGGCAGTTCCTACCATCTCTGTCATTTTAAAACGTTATTTTGTCCTGGTTTTTTTTTGAAGCGAGGTTGTAAGGCAACCTACCAGAACCACTAGAGGAAACAACTTCTGAGGTCTTTACATTTTTTTTTGAAAAGGTGGAACAATGGATGCAGCTTGAATGGGAATGGCCAGCTCTTACAGACCAGGCTTTCTAAGTTATTTTTTTCCCTGTACCATTAGAAGCTGTTCAAGATCTCAGAAGAGTTGGAAGCTTCAGTGAATAATTCCTAGCTGCTACTTTCTCTGCAATTTTTCTTTATGTTGCTTTCTTCTGAATTGGAGGAGCATGTAAGAATCTGTGTCTGAATTTACTTTTTTGCCAAGGGGTGTGCTTATGGGATGTTATTATGTTGAACAGTTACGTAGTAATAGGTACTGTATCTATTATTTAGTTAAGTTATTCTAACTTCCTCTATGTTTTGTTTGTATTTTAACTATAGTGTTTAAATAACAAGATCTGGATAATATCCAGACTTGGGCTGACAAGTGGCAAGAAATGCTAGTACCACAACAATGCCAGGCACTGACCATCTCCAATAAGAGACAATCTAACCACCGTCCTTTGATATCCAATAGCATTACCATTGCTGAATTCCTCACTATCAACATCCCGGGGGTTACTATTGACCAGGAGCTCCACCGGACTCACCATATTAATACAATGGTTACAAGAGTAGGTAAAAGGCAAGGAATACAGCAGCAAATACTGAGTTACTTACCTCCCGTCTCCCAAAAGCCTGTCCACATCTATAAGCACAAATCAGGAGTGTGATAGAATAGTTTACCTGGATGGGTGCAGCTCCAACAACACTCGAGCTCGAAACCATCCAGGACAAAGCAGCCCACTTGATTGGCACCACGTCCACTCTCTCCACCACCTCAGTAGCAGCAGTGTGTGCTATCTATAAGATCCTTAGACAGCACCTTCCAAACCCACAGCCACTTCCATTTAGAAGGACAAGGGTAGCAGATACATGGGAACACCACCCTTTGCAAATTCCCTTCCAAGCCACTTACCATACAGAATTGTAAATATATCACCGGTCCTTCACTGTTGCTCGGTTAAAATCTTGGAACTTTCTCCCTAATGACATTGTGGGTCAACCCACAGCACATGGACTGCAATGGTTCAAGAAGGCAGTTCACCACCACCTTCTCAAGGGTAACTAGGGACGGGTAATAAATGCTGGCCCAATCAGTGAAACTCACATCCCATGAATGAATACTAAAAAGTGTTTTCAAGTCAGCATGGTGAGTGGCTTGCAGGAGAACTTGCAACTGGTGGTGTTCCTCTGTATCTGCTGCTTTTGTCCTTCAAGGTGTTTGTGGTTGTGGGTTTGAAAGGTGCTATCTAAAGAACTTTGGTGAATTTCTGCATTGGTGGAGGAGAGAGTGGATGTTTATGATGCCAACCAAGTGGGCTGCTTTGCCCTGATGATGTTAAGTTTCTTGACTGCTGCTGGAGCTGCATTCATTCAGCAAGTGAGGAATATTCCATCACTCTCTGACTATGTCATAGATGGTCAACAGGCCTGGGGAGTCAGGAGGCGAGCTACTTGCTGCAGGATTCCTAGCTTCAAATCTAATCATACTCATATGACTAGTTCAGTTCAGTTCCTGGTCGATGGTATCACCCAGGATGTTTGTAGTTCATTGAACCAGGGTTAATTTCCTTGCTTGATGGTTATGGTAGAATGGGGATTATGCCAGATTGTGAAGTTCCACATTATGTTTGAGTGCAATTCTGCTGCTGCTGACAGTCCACATTGCCTCATGGCTACCCGGTCTAGAGTTTCTAGATTTGTTCAAGGTCTGCTCGATATAGCATAGTGCTAGTGCCCCACAATATGATGGAGGACAATCACAATCCGAAAATGGGAACTTGTCTTGGTCTACCTGTGTGCAGTCACTTCTGTTGTCTGTCCTGCCGGTAGGACAGGGCATACGAGGATGTTGATGGTGCTAAGGTATTTTGTATAAAGTATGATTCCATGATTATATGTATGACTATTTCAGGGTGATGCATGACCAGTCTGGTTGACAGATTTCCCAATTTTGGTACTAATCATCATACATTGGTATGGAGGACTTTGCAGGATCAAAAGGACTGAGTTTGCTGATGTCATTACCAGTGCTAAGATTCAAACCCTAGTCCTTCTTTTGTCTATATTTTGACAAAAAAGTTGTAATGAGGTCTGGAGTTAAGTGGCCCTGACAAAACCCAATCTGAGCAGTGAGCAGTTTATTGCTGAGTAAGTCCTACTTGTTAGGTAGGTTGATGATACCTTCCTTCACTTTGCTGATGATTATGACCAGATTGATAGGTGGTTATTGGCCAGATTGGATTTGTCCTACTTTTTTTGTGGACTGGACAAATTTTAGCAATTTTCCACATTGTCAGTTAGATACCAGTGTGGTAGCTATGCAGGAATAATGTGATTAGTGGCATAGCTAGTTATGGAACACAAATTTTCAGTATTCTAGCTAGTTTGTTGTCAAGGTTCAAAGCATTTGCTACATCAACTGCTCCTTGATTTCACATGGAGTGAATTAAGTAAACTGAAGACTGGCTGCTAGGATACAAGGGATCTTAGCAGAAGGTTGAGATGTGTAATTAACTGAGTGCTCCTGACTGAAGATAAATGCAAATACTCTAAACCAGGAAATTAGTACATAATCTATGTTGATGCTCCAGGTCAGTACCCTAGGAATATTGGATTGTCATTCAATGGGACTTGAAAAGCAAGGCTAACCCATTCAATTGCATTGCAGAAGAGCAGGGAATACTTCCAGTTTCAATTTAACCACCTGGATATTACAAATAAATAGAGAAAATGCCAGAAAGTTAATATTTCAGATAGAGTCATAGAGTTATGCAGCATGGAAGCAGACCCTTCAGTCCAACTTGTCCACGCCAACCAGATATCCTAAACTGATCAAATCCCATTTGGCCCAGATCCCTCAAAACCCTTCCTGTTCATGTAGCCATCCAGATGCCTTTTAAATGTAGTAATTGTACCTGCCTCCACCATCTCCTATGGCAGCTCATTCCATAAATGCACCGCTCTCTATGTGAACAAGTTGCCCCTCAAGTTCATTTTAAATCTTTCCCCTCTCACCTTAAAACTATGCCCTCAAGTTCTGGAATCCCCTACCCTGGATGAAGACCTTGGTTATTCACCCTATCCATTCAGCCTCAGACACATCCAACTCCATCTTGAAACTATTCAATGCTTTGTCCTCAACTACTTTCTGTGACAGAGAACTCCATCAGCCCACCACATTAGAGTTGAATAAATTTCTCATGAAGAAAATGTGCATGACACAGTTTATCCAGCACTTTCTGCCTTTATTTCAGAATTTCCAGCATCCACAACATTTTGCGTTTAAGTGTGAGCAATAATTTGATTAATTTGACTGCTTCCACTGTTCAGACAGCAACTGTTGTTACTGATTCTGCTTTTGCCAGTCACACCTTTTCTAGACCTATCTTTTGTTTCTCCACTTCACTCATTTACAATTCTGTTTTACCCGGCATCATCATAGGTAACATTTTTTCTCATTTCTGTAACTGATTAACTTGAGAGTCTTTATTGCAGTTATTTTTAATTTGACTATTCATTGCCAATATTTGTAAGATCTTGTATAAAATGACTACTAGAAATATCAATATAAGAGTGGCTGCATTTCCTGCATTTCAATAAAATCTTAATCCATGTAGAATGCTTTGAGATGTTCCAAAAGGTGTGTCTCAGTATTATGGTTAGCTTGAGGTACAAGTCAAATTAAAAGGTCTGTATACCATAAATTTGGGTTATGAACAAAAGCTTTCCTCTGTGTATGCAAGTAAATTTCAGTGAATGTATTACTATGTTGATAAGCTTAAGAATTTTGTTTTAATGAAGGTTGGACAACAAACTAAACTCATCAGATACAGAAATTACAGAACAACCTGCAATGTCTACTGAAGACACCTCCAACTCTTCAGACAATCAAATCAATCATAATTCACAAGAACAGCACCAATCTGCTTTAATAGCATTGTACTCTATTGTGTTTGTGGGAGGAGTTATTGGAGCTAGTGTTATGTTATTTCGAATTCTGAAGAATGACAAGAATTCAAAATCATTTATCATCATCAATCTCTTAGCAGCACATGTGATTTTTCTAATAACTGTGCCATTTCGTATTTCTTACTATGCAATTAAAGAATGGAAGTTTGGGTTAGTTTTCTGTAAGTTAGTCAGTGCTGTTATACACATTCACATGTACTTAACCTTTGCATTTTATGTGATCATCATCATCACAAGATTTCTTAATGTCTTTCAAAAGAGTGAGAGACCAAAGGCTTACAAACCATGTAATGTTTTAGTGTTCAGTGCAGTTGTATGGTTTGTGGTGGCTGTGGTTATTCTTCCAATATTTCTAATGAGATATGGCAATAATCTGGAATATGATAAAAATCAGTGTTTTCACTTTGAAACTGAAATGTCATCACCAACTGTCAGGCTAACCAATTACATTTTAATCAGCACAACAATATGTACAGTTATCATTTTGCTCATCTGGCAGATAGGTATAATGTTAAATCTGGTTTTCAAGCATGGCTCACAAACATGTGCACATCAAGTCTTTCGTGCCCAACTAAAGACATTAACATTTATATTGATAATGTTTGTGTTTTTTGTTCCATATCTTGGATTCAGAGCATATTACATCAAAGAATCAAAGAATTGTTCATCAGTTATGTATTCACTTAATGAAGCAGGTTTATCTATTACCGGAATGAGTTGTTTTGATTTGTTAATTTTTTGGATATGGTATTCCATTTAAAACTTTACCAAGCAGCGAGGTACTAGCCCATGAAGATTGTAAACTGTATGTAGTTATTTGATCAATTTTTTTTAGGGCAAGTTGAACATCCCACACTTTGAAATACCAAATCAAATGGGACATAGTTGGATTAGAACAGTAAATTGCTACTTGAGGTATAAATTTGGTATCAGGGACAGTTGAGAATTAAATAATCATAAAAGCATGTCCATTATTCTAAATCCCTGGAGCATCATTTTTGTGAAAGGTTAAACAAGTTTTGATTCACCCACTTAACTGTTATTGATATGATTTTTAATATTGTTTCCTGTTCCATCCTCTGATGGATAAGCTGAATTTAAATTCAAGACAGAACTCATACATTATTTCTACATTGTCACTGAGTTATGCAAAGGCATCCTAGGTGAAGATGTATTAGATTTTCTCCAAAGATGCATATGCTGTAATGGATTGTGATGTAAAGCTTTCAAACATGTACAGTATTATTTTACTTTTTAATTATTCCATGTAATATATTGTTGTCAAATAAAACAAATTCCACAGCAACCTCCCCAGGCACCAACTTTTCTGACCACATCTTTCAGGCTTGCAACAATTCAGCTTAATATTTTAAATATCTATCCAATCACACACTTTACTAATCATCTGTGATATTGTCAAATTCTTTCTCAAAATCAGGTAAATTCAGCAAAAAAGAGGAAACATTTTCACCACCAGTTCTGTACCGCACAACCGATATAATTTCCCTCCCTGGACACTTTTTAAAATTCATTCACAGGATGACAGTATCGCTGCCTAGGTCAGAATTTATTGTCCATCCCTAATTGCCCATGGAGCAGCTAAGAGTCAACCATATTGCTATGGGTCTGGAGTCACATGTAGATAAAGATAGCACTTTCTTTCCCTAAAGGACATTAGTCAACCAGATAGGTTTTTTCTGACAATTGACAATGGTTTCAAGGTCATCATTAGACTCCTAATTCCAGATTTTTGTTGAATACAAATTCCACCATCTGCCATGGCAGGATTCAAACGTGAGCACCCAGAATATTACCTGTGTCTCTGAATTAACAGTTGAGCAATGAAACCACTCAGCCATCATCTCCCCTTTCAGTTGAGTTTCTGACCATAAATCCTCTCCATCATAAATATCATTAACCTCTACCTCATATCATTGTCTGCTTGCATCTCAATCCATCTTCTGATGAAACATTCATCCATTCCTTTCCACTTGCAGCCTCAATTATTTCAGTCCTTTCCTGAGTAGCCATCCATAAATTTCATCTCATCCTGAACTCTATTGGCTAAGTCATCAACTCCTGCTGACTCCAGACTTGCTGGCCTACGGTGGCTACTAGTCTCATATTCACACAAATCAAAATTCTCATACTAGTAGTTAAATCCTTCCAAGGCCTCAGGACCACACCAACCATCTAATCTCCACCCAAACTACTCACCAACAAACTTGGACTGATCATATCACTGCCCTCTTTTTGGCCCTCCAAACGTGTCATCAGCTACCTAGACTCCAATTTCTAAATATCCATCACACACCCAGCTTCTTATTCTCCCTGTCTTAATTCCTTTACTTCATTCAGCATTTTTTCTTTATGCTTCCACAAAGCTCTTTGTGCAAATGTAAATTATTCTTCAATTTTCTCCGACTGCCATCCCAAGCTTGAATTTCTACCTTGTTCATATTCTTCAAAGGTACTATTATACGATACCACGTGACATTACTCTATCCCTTGTTCTTGTTGGCCATTTCATCCAGATGCCATTATGTGCATCTAGCTTCCACCTTAAATCCTTCTCTCCCACCTTCACCTAAACCACTGAGTGTGATGCAGTCATAAAGTTCTTAGTTGTCAAATTCAAAACTACTGATACAAGAAAAAGGAGGCCTATGTCAGGTATAGATAGCTGGGATTGAGTGAATCCCTACAGCTGTATAAGGGCAGTAGGAGTACACTGAAGAGGGAAATCAGGAGGGCAAAAAGGGGACATGAGATATTATTGGCAAATAGGGTTAAGGAAAATTCAAAGAGATTCTACAAATATATTAATGACAAAAGAGTAACTTCGAAAGAATTGGGCCCCTTAAAGATCAACAAGTCCTTATGTATGGAACCACAGGAGATGGGTGAGATACTAAACGAGTATTTTGCATCAATATTTACTGTGGAGAAGGATAAGAAAGCTAGGGAATTTGGAGAAATCAATAGTGATATCTTGAAAAATGAGAAGGAGGTGCTCGATGTCTTAAAATGCGTAGAGGTGGATATATCCCCAGGACCAAATCAGGTGTATCCCAGAACTTTGTGGGAAGCTAGGGAAGTGATTGCTGGGAACCTTGCTGAGATATCTGTATCATTAATAGCCATGGGTGAAGTGTCAGAAAATTGGAGGTTGGCTAATGGGGTACCATTATTTAAGAAACGTGGTTAAGGAAAAGCCAGGGAACTATAGACCGGTGAGCCCGACGTCAGTGGTGGTAAATTGCTGGAGGCGATTCTAAGGGACAGGATTTACATATCTTTGGATAGGCAAGGTCTGTTTTGGAACAGTCAACCTAGCTAGGTATGTGGAAAATTGTGGTCTCACTAAGTTGACTGAGTTTTTCAAGAAGCAACAAAGAAGATTGAAGGCAGAATGGTAGGCATTGTCTATGTGTACCGCAGTATTGCTTTTGACAAGCTTCTGCATGGTAGGCTGGTTAGCAAGTTTACATCATATGGAATACAGGGAGAACTAGCTATTTGGATACAAAATTGACTCGAAGGTAGGAGACAGAGGGTTGCTTTTCAGACTGGAGCCTGTGACCTTCGTGTGTCGCAAGGCTCGGTGCTGTGTCCACAGCTTTTTGCCATTTATATCAATGTAGGGGTGACCTGTACCTGGCTATGTAAGGTGACTTGTACCCTAACATACTAAGCCGCCTACACCTGCTTACAGGATGGCAGACAGAAGCTAAGCAAAACTAAGCAGCCTGTTCACACAGTGAAATACAATGGTACCTTTGAACAGAACTGCTAGGCGGTCAGTTAAAGAACGCTGTATGTTCCCATCCGAGACAGTTCCGATAAAAGGATGCCTTAGGAATGATAAATAACCAATTCCAGCTTTATTAATGAAAGGATGATTGCCCCATTAAATGAATAACGTCAGGTGCTAGACGAGTTCAATAATTTTAGGGCCTAAACTCTCCCATGTCCCACCCCCCTACCCCACACACCAAGCCTTGTTACTACACAGCCTGCCATTACACACCCCCTGTTGTTAGTCACTGACAGTCCCCATTAACAACGATTCACCCTCCCAGCCTGATCGTTAGCAACTCTTTTGTCCAACTGTCTTTCTCTCTTTTTGGGCTCTATCCTATCGTTTACTGCCTACCCCACCCATCTCCCTATTTTCTGCATATAAACTGACATTTTCCCAGCCACCATCAGTTCTGAGGGTCACCGGACCCGAAACGTTAACTCTGTTTTTTCCTTCACAGATGCTGCCAGACCTGCTGAGCTTCTCCAGCAACTTTGTTTTTGTTCAGCATATAATACAAGCCTTAAAAAAATTTAAATTTAGAGGTAAAGATTAGCTAGCCTTAGGAGTTGCCTTCTCTTATGCCCTGAACAAGATAGATTGATCACAACCCATAAATTACAAAATGCTGACAGTAGAAGTAGTTGTATAACGTTACACTTATAATTAACTTTTATATCAGAAGTTAACCTAATAGCAATTAGTTAAAACTAACTGACTTTTGATTTTTACATTAAGTAATTGAGACAGTGGGAAAATAAAAGGAGTAACTGAATGTAATAAAAGACAGCAGAAAAATACAACAGGTAATAGAATTTGAGCTGTCCTTACAGAATAACAAGCCTGAGAAAGATCCGAACGAGTATAGACATTAAACGTTTGGAATGCGAATGAATAGAATGCATAAGGCCTAGAGATTACAGTGTCTAGCTAATACCATAAGATCATGGGAACTTGGGGCTGTCCATGGAAATGCCCATCACTGACTAAGTGTCCCACAGGATTGGGTGTTTGAATTAAGGGGAAGGATAATGACTACGTTGTATTTGATAACTATAACACAAAATGTGTAAAAATGCTGTATTTCTTTATAAAAGCAGAGGCTGTGTCATTGATCTATCTTCTGAAGCCAGATTCGGGGAAGATCCTTTGGCCCTCTCCCTACATAAACCGGTTTCTGCTTGAATAAACATCTTCCACTTGCCCGAATCCTCCCTGCCTCCCGAGTCCTTGTCCGGGTTTGAGAAAAATGCTCCTACAATCAATGATTTGGATATGAATATAGGAGGCATGATCAGTAAGTTTGCAGATGACACCAGAATTGGTGCTGCAATGGACCGCAAAGAAGGTTAGCTCAGAGTACAATGGGACCTTGATCAGACGGGCCGATGGGCCAAGGAGTGGCAGGTGGAATTTAATTTGAATACATGTGAGGTGTTGCATTTTGGTAAGGCAAATCAGGACATGGCATATGCAGTTAATGGCAGCGTCCTGGGGATTGTTGCTGAACAAAGAGACCTTGGGCTACAGGTTCATAGTTCCTTGAATGTGGAGTCGCAGGTAGACAGGACAGTGAAGAAGGTGTTTAGTTCACTTGCGTTTATTGGTCAGTGCAGGAATTGGGATGTCATGTTGCAGCTGTACAGGACATTGGTTAGGCCATTTTTGGAATACTGCATTCAATTCTGGTCTCCCTGCTGTGGGAAAGATGTTGTTAAATTTAGAAGGGTTCAGAAAAGATTTACAAGGATGTTGCCAGGGTTTCAGCAATAGGGAGAGGCTGAATAGGCTGGGACAACTTTCCCTGGAGCATTGGCGGCTGAGGTGGGTTCATTATAGAGGTTTATAAAATCATGGGGGACAATGGATAGGGTGAATAGCCAAGGTCATTTTCTCAGGGCAGGAGTGTCCAAAACTAGAGATCATAGGTTTAATGTGAGAGGGGAAAGCTTTAAAAGGCATCTACGAGGGCAACTTTCTCATGCAGAGGGTGGTCTGTGTATAGAATAAGTTTCCAGAGGAAGTGGTGAAAACTGATACAATTACAACATTTAAAAGGCTTCTGGATGAGTATATGAATAGGAAGAGTTTAGAGGAATATGGGCCAAATGCTGGCAAATGGGACTAGGTTAATTCAGGATATCTGGTCAGTGGCAGACAAGTTGACCGAAGGGTCTGCTTCAATGCTGTACAACTCTAATTGTTCTTTTCTTTTCTTTCGAGTGATATTAGATAAATGATTGAACAATATGTGATCAGAAGCTCATCTAAGGGTCAAATAGGATATTAATATTGCAAAGAGATAGTAGGAACTGCAGATGCTGGAGAATCTGAGATAACAAGGTGTAGAGCTGGATGAACACAGCAGGCC